ATCTGAATAGTGCAATTAAAATTTAGCAATGAATAACCAAGGAATAAACCTAGCAAAAATGTACAAGACTTTTACACAGAGAATTAAAAAACTTGATTGAGAAATATTTTAAAAATGAAAAATAAATGGAGAGGTAATCCATGATTCTGAACGGAAGACTCAATATAGTAAGGATGCTAATTCCCTCCAAATTTACCTATAGATTCAGTGTAATTTAAATAACTATCCCAAAAGAAAAATTAATTTTCTTTTTTAACTAATTAACTATATGGGAAAGAAATACTGGTCGTCTCCTACTTTACACTAAACACAAAAATAAATACCATGTGGACTAAACCCCTAACTGTAAAAGATAAAACTTTAAAACTTTCAGAAGACATGATGCAGTAGAGAAAAATTTCCTTTAAAAGGCATAGAAATCACAAATCACTAAGGAAAAGACTGATAAATTTGAATTTAAACTCAACAAAGAATACCATAAACAGAACAAAAAGGCACAAGGAGAGAAGATATCTGCTATGATATCAACAAAGTTAATATTGAGACTATCCATGAATAAATCCAATCACATAGTAAAACAGACAGAAGGAAGGAGGTCAGAAAGGAAGGAGAAGGGAAAGAAGGAAATAGAAAAGGGGAGTGAAGGGAAGGAAAAAGAAGGAAAGACAAATTTTTTTAAAAAGAAAGCACAAATGGCTCATAAACATAAAAATATGTTTAACCTCATCAGTAACCAGGAAAGTGATCATTTAAACCCCAGTGAGATGCCATTCTACACCTATACACACTGGCAAGAATTTTTTAATTGACAGAAATCAACTGTGTGCAAGGAGGAGGAGCCATGGGCACCCTCATGCTAGACTTGTTGTTGCTATTGTTCAGTTGCTAAGTTGTGTCCAATTCTTTGCAACACCATGAACTATAGCATGACAGGCTCCTCTGTCCTCCACTATCTCCCAGAGTTAGCTCAAATTCATGTCCACTGAGCCGGTGATGCTATCTAATCAGTCCATCCTCCGCTGTCCCTTCTCCTGTTGCCTTCAATCCTTCCCAGCATCAGGGTCTTTTCCAGTGAGTCGGCCCTTTGCATAAGGTGGCCAAAGTACTGGAGCTTCAGCTTCCGCATCAGTCCTTCGAGTAAATATTCAGGGTTGATCTCCTTTAGCATTGACTGGTGGTGATCTCCGTGCTGTCCAAAGGACTCTCAAGAATCTTCTCTAGCGCCACAATTCATGAGCATCAATTCTCTGGCACTCAGCCTTCTTTATGGTCCAACTCTCACATCCATACATGACTACCAGTAAAACCATAGCTTTGTCTATGCAGACCTTTGCTAGCAAAGTGATGTCTCTGCCTTTTAATATGCTCTCTAGGTTTGTCACAGCTTTCCTTCCAAGGAGCAAGAATGTTAGGCACTGCCTGGTAAAGTGAGGAGTGCAGACACCCCAGGGCCCAGCCATCCCACTCAGCAGATGCAGCATGAGATAGGCACAAGAGTGTTCACAACAGCCCAAACTGCAAACACCCCAAACGATCACCACCAGTAGAACTGATAAAACAGACTGTGTACACTCTGGCTAAATAGAAATGAAAATAAATTATATCAGCATAAATGCTTCTCAAAAACAATACTGAACACAGTTCAAATACAGACAAAATTGAACAATACAAAAATGGGGTAAACTGTAAAAAAAAAAAAAAGCAAAACAAGACAATGATAAACATCAAGTTCCGAACAGTGGCTACCTCTGCATGAGCAGAGAAGGGACCAGTAAGGGGATTGCAGTGTTCAGTGCTCTTTATTCTTGGGCTGGTTGCTAGGAATATGGTTGCTCATTCATCACTGTTTTTATAATATTACACACTTGTTTTTATACAGTATTTTCATAAGTGGCACGTTTTAAATTTTATAACTTTTAAAATTAATGAATAAAAATTAAAAGTGCTTTAGCATTGTACTGTGATAGTATTACCAGACACATTTAGTGTATTTTCCACTTGCCTGGCAACAAATATTCTTCTTTTCATTGTGTCCAAAGATAACCGTGTAGCTTTTTGAAGACTGTCTAGTAATTGATGAGAGAAAAAAGCGTAGACCTCTTTACATTCCTATAATGAGAAATCATATTAAATTTGGTACCAAAAAAATCTAACACCCTCAAAGAAATAATATAACATTAGAAGTGACGTGCAAAAGATGAAAATAATAAACTTTACAATTTCAATAATGTTATAGAAATAAATTCAACACTGTGTTACTCTTTTACTTTTTAAAACAAGTTAGAATATATGAAAAATGTGCTTTCATAAACAACCCAGCAAATTAGAAGGTGTTACTCCAAAGCCAAAATTCAAAAACAGCTAATTGAAAATAATCCTGGTTTGCTCAATATCTAATAATTCACTCAACAAAACTGAAGCATTTAGGGCTGTGTACTTAGTGCTTAGAGGTGTGGACACAGGAGGATAGTTAGTCTCCAACCTCNACCCTGATGCTGGGAAAGATTGAGGGCAGGAGGAGAAGGGGACAACAGAGGATGAGATGGTTAGATCGCATCACCAACTCAATGGACATGAGTTTGGGAAAACTCCAGGAGTTGGTGATGGACAGGGAGGCCTGGCGTGCTGTGGTTCATGGGGTCACAGGAAGTCGGACATGACTGAGCCACTGAACTGAACTGAACTGAATAATAAAATAAAGCTGCCTTTAAAAAAAATGTATGATACCCAAATGTATGGGATGAAACTTCCACCATCTTGACACCAGGGTTTGCCCCTCTCTGTCAGCCCCTTTCCCTCCAGCGAAGCAATAGCCATACTTATTGGTCAGAGCACAGAATAAATATTGAGCCTGGGCAGGTGTCGGGGCACCACGTCTTGCTTCACAGCGAGTCCCACGCCCATGGCCAAGCTCTGGCCACACTGTCCCTGTCCACCCTATGCCCTGCCCCCTCTGAGACTGGGCGGGCCAGTTAGGTTGAGTTGCTTCAGAAGGGAGGCCTGTCAGGTGTTAACAAAGAGGAATATGATCAGGGTTGGTCAAGCACCAGGCTACAGCACAGGCAGGATATCATGAGGCGTTTACGTGAGACTACTGTGGAAGCGATGTGGAAGGTGGATTTGAGAGGCAGAGGCTGTTAAGGAGGTGCCCACCCTGATGCAGCTCCAAGTGATCCCGCAGCTCCAGAGGCTCTGATGGTGCCCAGTATGGTACTCAGTCTTGCTCTAAGGACCCCAGCCAGTGTCACAGGGAATGCAGTTGGAAGTGAAGGACTCTCCAGCCACCTCCCACTGACCAATAGTGGCTGCCTAAGTGTCTGGCGCTGAGAAGCAATCCACAGCTAAAATCTAGACTCAGCAGGAAAGTGTTTCCCAATCAAGTAATTATACCATCCTTGAGTCAGAAGGTGAAAATGAAACACATGTGTGCTGTTTATTTCCAAAATTATGTTGGAGTATGGGGTGTGTATGTGTGTGTGTGTGTGTGAATCTGTATCAGTTGTGTCCAACTCTTGAAACCCCATGCTCTATAGCCCACCGGGCTCCTCTGTCATGGAATTTTCCAGGCAAGAATACTGGAGTGGGTTGCCACTTCCTCCTCCAGAGGAATCTTCCCGACACAGGGATCAAACCCATGTCTCTTGCATTGCAGGCAGATTCTTTACCACTAGCACCACTTGCGTGGGTTAGAGAGTATAAAAGCAAGTAAAATGGAGAAAGAATGAAAAGATGGGTATGGAGGGTTAAAAAATTAAAGGGGGACCTCCCAGGTAGTTAAAAATCTGCCTTCCAATGCAGGGGACACGGGTTCGACCTGAGGTCGGGGAACAAAGTTCCCAGAAACTGCAGGGCAACTAAGCCTGCTTACCACAACTACTGAAGCCAAGAGTTCTAGAACCCTCTTACCACAACTAGAGAGTCTGTGCACCACGACGAAAATCCCAGGTGACACAAGCAAGACCCGACCCATAGAAATAAATAAATATTAAAGAAAAAGAAAACTGATGGCAGCAGGAGAAATCGGGAAGTAGTACAAACACGGCAGTGGCATTCAGAGTCGATGAACGGCCAGGAGGCCTAAGAAGGATGAAGAATCCCAGTGTCTCAATTTCCATTCTCAACACATCTCAGTGTAATGTGAAACTCTGCCCACCTGGGGTTTCTCCTGCAGGGGAATCCACAGGATATCCACAGTGCTTATAAAAAATGCAGATCCCTGGACCCCAGGTGAATCAAAGTCTGGTCTTGCAATATAGGTAACTCCATTAAAAACAGTAACTGAGAACAAAGTTCTCCATCCTGAGTCAAATGGATTGGCACTATGGTCCCAGATGTGACATTTACTACATAAGAAAGCATGGTCAGTCACAATGGAGGCAATAACTATACAAACTGTAATTGACAGAATCACATTAAAAGCAGATGATATTGGGGGAAAAACTGTAAGGACTGCTGTAGCTTGTCAGATTCCACAGTGTAGGATAGAAAATTATATTTTCTGGATTTTGTTATAAATCCACACAGATTGGCTGCAGAACTACCTGGGGGCGGGGTGGCGGGGAGGGAAACACCATTTGGGATTATCTGCAAGCCTATGAGTTATAATTCTGTGAAATTGCAGGAGGTTGTTTCACAATAATACCTTCTTAAATTCATCTTCTTTATCATCTTTAACATCAGCCTCAGGCACAATATTAGCATCATAATCAGTGCTTTCACCATCTTCTCCCTCACTTCCAAAAACAACATGCTTTCTCAGCTCTATAGAAAAGATAACATAAAAATAGAACATTTAATACTTAGCATTTGGTTTATTCTATATGACCAAACCTTCTTAGGAAGCTCCTTCTTTAAAAAACTCTTAATCGAAAAATTAAAAATTTGTTTCTAGGGGAACCACCCTTGGAATTCAATTTAAATCAAGTACACTTTTCAAACACAGTATCTAGAATGAAGGAACATTTAAAGAGAGCTCTACATGTTAGCTTTTTTTTTTTTTTAGTTTAAGTATTTCAGTTTATTTCAGTATTTCACTGAATAAGGTATTTTACATTTGTTAATAACTCTCTACTTTGTTCCAAGTTATTTATGTGACTTTAAAAAATACCTAAAGGGACTTCCCTGGTGGTCCAATGGTGAAGACTCCATGCTCCCACTGCAGAGGGTGCAGGTTCAAAACCTGGTCCAGCAACTAAGATTCTGTATAATTTGCAGTGCAGCCAAAAAAAAAAAAAAAAGACTGCAGTATCAATTTTGTGATTTGCCTGGTGAATCTTAGTTATGGAACTTCTTCTTTCGAAACTTCTTTCCTGCTTCATTTGCTGCCTTTTCAGCCATTATCTCTGAGTACATCCTTCAGTTGTATCTTCTGAACTCAGAATCAGCCAGCAGTTCCTCCACAGTAGTTATCTTCCTTTGTTTCTTGGGAACTCGTGAATGGTAGAAGTCAGCAGGATTATCCACAATGGTTCCAATCTGGAAGTGCTTAGGGAAGCCATCTCTATCATTTCTCTTGTAAGACCTTTTTGGGTCCATGCTGGCTCTCATCTTCAGTGCTTTGAGATCATTTTTCAGTTCGTCTGTCAGTTCTGGCGCTTTCATACCAAACCATCCATCACCTGCTGTTTTTTGTCGCTCGTCTGCATTTTTTCTGAAGTGTATATTTTGATTCACTATACGGTGGGACACAGTAGTTTTTTTCAAATTCAGGAGTAATGACAGTTTTCTGCAGAAGCTCATCTTTCCTTCTCTCTTTTACCTATGTTAGGGTTCTCTTGTTCAACTGTAGCCTGTCTGCATTGAAATTAATATACAAACCACCCAGCTCCTTAATATTCAGTCCAGGATCTATGCTGCTCCTCGTCAACTTCAGAAGTTTAGATTTTGTGCTACTTAGTAAGGTGTTTTCATCACTAAACTCATTATCTTTATTTCTGTCATGGTCTGATAGTTCTTCACTTTCTTCCTCTTCTTCCTCCTCCTCCTTCTCAGTGGCAACCTCACTTGCCTTGTCTTCTTCATCCAAGTAAAAATCTTTATCAGCACTCAATCCGGGAGTAGTGTCAATCACAAACAATGCATTGTCACGTGACAGACTTTCTGAGTCTCCCTTTAGGGACTCTTTGTTACCCTTATTTTCAACAAAACACACAGTGTCCTCTTCATTCTCACTGTGTCCAGACTGCTGGCTTTCATCACTGCTGAGAACTAACAAAACAGAATCATCTTTATCCTGAGTTGTGTTGAACGCAATTTTACTTGGCTTGGTGTCCTTCTCAGAATCTACCTCCTCTTCTTCGCTCCTGTCTTCACTGACACCTATCACTGTGCACTCTTCTCCATCACTATCACTACCATCACCAGGTTCTGAACAGTCACTTGTCTTTATGGCATTCTTTCTCTCTTCATTCCATCTGTCCATTTCCACAATGGCAAATGTGTGAGCTAACGATTTCATCGCAGCCTCACAGTTCAGAGTTGAGGACTCTGATGTGGTTTTGTTACTTTCAGGGGTTGAATGTCTTTGAGAAACTAACTGCGGAAGGCCAGTGTCCCAAAGTTCAGGAAGATTATTCAACTGAGAGTTCTTCTCATTACCTTCTTTTCCCCCAACTATTATTTTTTTGGCTTCTTCATCTAAACTTTTACAATTCTGCTTGGACACTTCTTTGAGAGGTGGAATACTGTCCTGCTCTTCCTCTCTTATGGTATTTTGGGCTTTTTTCACTGCTGGTTTTTTTTTCTGAAATTCCAAAGAAGGAATCATCATCAGGGTCATTATAAATTTCATTATTAGAGAAATTTGGCTTATTTATCTGAGAAAGTGATCTTGCTAGTAAACGAGAAGTTCGTCTGTTAACTGAATCCTCTAAGTCCACAGGTGTATGTATGATTTCCTTCTCATTTTCTAGTACAATCTTAGTCTCCTCAGTTTGTGCCTGTAATTTCCTCTGCATACTCCTTGTTGTTCTCCTAGTTGCAATTCCAGAAAATGAAGAAACATCTGAGCATGATGACTCAGCATCAGAAATAACTTCCACATGGCATTCTTGCTTTGGTTCTCTTTGGGATTTAGCCTTACTTCTTCTGGTTGTTATTTCTGTGCCAGGCATAATTCTAGAAATACTGGAAACATGTGATTCTGCTTCAGAGACTTCTTCAGTATGAGACTCACTTACCCGAGTTATTTTCAGCCTTTTCCTTACACTAGAAACTGTGGTGCCTGCAACTAAGATCTGTCTTATCCTAGTTACTCTGAAAATAGGATCCTGGACCTCAGACACGGAAGAACAATTTGACTCTGCTTCAGAGATCTCGCCATCTGTTGAAGGTTTGTTCATTTCTGGTAATGAGCCTGTAGTTCCACTCTTCCTGGTTTTAGGAGCTGGACTTCGTTCTGGAGTGGTCTGTGATTCAGCAGTATTTGGGTTATCAGGTGAGGACCCCTTCCTGCCTTTTGGGTGCACCTGAAGTCTTGTGACAGAATTCTTCTTCCGCGAGCTTTCAACTTACATGGCTTGGGTCCCGGCCTTGAGGCCGCGCAGACCTAGTAACCACCATCTTCCAGGCGTGCGGCTCCCGCTACACGTTAGCTTTCTAAAATACCTGTTTAAGTTTTGACTTTGCTATCCTAACAAGCTGATATGTTTGTGTTTTTGATACTTATGATGAAAACCACTTAAAGTAAGTGAAAAATCTCTAAGAGGAAGAAGACATGCTGTGGATATTTAAGCGCTGAGGTTTTTTTTGTTTGTTTTTTTAAAGCATACAAATTTATTTAATATAAGTTTTACATGACACGAGAAATTTCAAAAGGAAATTAAGATCCAAAGATGTGATTAAACTGCGGGGTTCCGCGCTAGGTTCTATAAAGAGTAGAAAATCATAGGAAAAAATGTGATAGGACTACAGGTAGTAAACTGTGGAGATTTAGCAAGGCCCATTTATTCTGATTCCTCTCAGCATCCTCCCATCTTTGAAAATAAAGATGCTCCTTTCCTCTCTGGATACATGGAAGCCTCTCAGATGAGAGGAGAAAGTAGAGGTTGGAGATTCCTTCCCGTACCACCTGGAGTGGCTCAGATGGTAAAGAAACTGCTTGCAATGCAGGAGACCCAGGTTCGATCCCTGGGTAAGGAAGATTCCCTGGAGTAGGAAATGGCAACCCACTCCAGTATTCTTGTCTGGAGAATCCCATGGACAGAGGAGACTGGTGGGCTACAGTCCATAGGGTCACAAAGGGTCGGACACAACTGAGTGACTAACACTTTCACTTTCCTGTACCACCACCTCTCAAATTCCTTTATCTTAAAATATTCAATAGGCATAGTAGCACATTTGGGGGTGGTATGTTCTGAGCCCCAACATTTCTCTCCTAACTTATGTTTTCCCTTCTTTCATTTCCTTTCCCTTAAAAACTCTTTGTATAGTATGGCATGGCAATACTAGAGAGGGGGTTCTGTAAACTTCTACTCCCCCCTCAGTCTTCTCCATACCTTCCCTGCGCCCCGCCTAATGAATCTAAAGACTTGTTAATTTGATTAGCATATTGATGCTACTTTTCCAAGAACTTTGCTTCATAGGTGGGATGAGCCCCTGTGTTTCCCCAAAAAAGCAAAGCTTTCTTCCAATAGTTTCAAATTTATCCCTTGCAAAAACTTCTCACATTTAGGAACTTTGGTGCAGAATCTTGCAAGTGGATCATAACTGGCTATAACTTATTAAAGAAACACATTTAACATTTCTAGCAGTAAGTGAACATAATAAAATCTCTGGGTCGGGAAGATCCCCTGATGAAGGGAATAGCAACCCAATCCAGTATTCTTGCCTGGAGAATTCCATGGACAGAGGAGCCTGGCAGGCTAGTTTGTGGGGTCGCAAAGAGTGAGACACAACTGAGCCACTAACACTTTCACACACACACAATGGTTTTTCCCTTCAAATTAAAACTACAAATTATTTATATTTATTACCTAAACTCCCCTCAGTAAATATATTATTTTCAGCACTTCTTACAGGTCTTATACATTTAGGAAAGCAAAATGTATTTTATATATTAAACAATTTGTTCACTGAATCAAACTGAAGTTTTTACTTAATGAACATGTCCATTTTCACCTACTTTTTCCCTTACTACTGGAAAGGGATATTCGCCTGCACATGGCTTGCTCCTCCACCTGTCCACCTGTCCTTAACTTACAGTTCCTAACTTTCCATTGACTAGGTCTCAAAAAACAGCTGAGTTTTGCAGGCACAGCACAAACCCATTAATTAATTCCTACTGTGTGGGCCCTCTCTACATTCATGAGAACATTTTGGAATAGAAGAGCCTGAAAAGGATATTACAGAGATAATTTTTAAAGGCTTGTTTTAATAAATAAAAGAGAATTAAATCATTTATAAACTTGAGTTTTAGCTAAGATCACTCGTGTGTGTGTGTGTGTGTGTGCATTCAATCGTGTCCAGCTGTTTGCGAGCTCATTGACTGTAGCCTGCCAGGCTCCTCTGTGCATGGGATTTTCCAGCCAAAACTACTGGAGTGGGTTGCCATTTCCTCCTCGAGGGGATCTTCCCAACCTAGGGATTGAATTCACGTCTCTGGCATCTCCTGCGTTAGCAGGCAGATTCTTAACCACTGTAAGCTCAGAGTTTCTCATCCTCAGCTCTGCTGACTACTTTCTTTTTTGCTGGGGGCTGTCCTATGCAATGGAGGATGTTTAGCAGCATCTCTGCCCTCTACTCAGATGGCTGTCAGGCAGTGTGACAACCAGCGTGTTGGAATGAATACATAAAAAAGAAAAAGTTAACATAGCGGGCCAGAGACTGCTATCCATGTTAAGGCCTGCTTGCAAGGCTGGTCCTTAACAGGTGTCCGGGAATTTGGATTTGGGGCTTCCCCGGTGGCTCAGTGGTACAGAATCTGTCTGCCAACGCAGGAGACGTAGGTCGATCCCTGAGTAGGGAAGATCCCCTGGAGAAGGAAATGGCAACCGGCTCCCGTATTCTTGCCTGGGAAAACCCATGTGCAGAGAAGCCTGGCGGGCTACAGTCCCTGGGGTGGCAAAAGAGTGGGACACGACTTATCAACTAAACAACAACGACAGCCTGGATGTCAGAGGGGTGCCCACCATTCCCTAACTCATACAAAGGCTCGCTGTGCCCACACTGTGCAAACTGCATGGCTTATGCTGAACCCCTGTCCTTCCCAGAGTCTGGAATTTCGGTACACGCTAAGCACAGAGGGCCTTCTTGAGAGCATATCTGTAGCACTTGTGATTCAAACATTTTAACCAGTCGCGTTACCTGGTAAGTGTCTTGCTCCTTTCCCACTGTACTTAACTTCATAAATAGTCTCAAATATTGATATAAGTTCTTTGACAGCTTCTTCCACATGCTTACTTTTGTGGTTTAGAACCTCAGCCCATTCTTTTGTGTATGTCTATTAAATAAAGAAATGACTATTAATTTCCAGATACTTAAAACTACTGTGAAGTTTCTTAATACGACTTTAATTTGTCAAACTCTAATTAACGCTATTTGAAAATACCTAGAGATAGTGGCCAGTAGCATAACGATTCAGACTCCAAACTGTCAACAGCTAAAAGCAGCCTAAGAAACCTGCTAAGTCTCAAGCGAGGAAAAGGAGGAGAAAGAATAAAAATCCAAAGTTGTTTTGTTTTGTTTTTTTGGCCATGCCATGAAGTGTACAGATCTTAGTTCCCTGATCAGAAATGGAACCTGTGCCCCTGCCGGGGAAGCATGGAGTCTTAACCACTGGACTGCCAGGGAAGTGCCAAATTCAAAGTTTTTTACCTTACCTGATTCAATCACTCATAGAGATCTACACTCACATTCATATGAATAAAAAGAAAGAAGCCTGAAGACGTAACAGAGAGAAAGATGTCACAAGTTGAAAGTGAGAAATGGTTTTAAAAAACAACAATCCAAAGTGTCATTTTGAGATTCAAATGAGAAGATTTTTAACTGAGCATTGTGTTGTGTGCCAGGCATCAATTTAAGAGCTTTATGCATATGAACTCATTTAATTAAACGACAACCTCTTGGGATAGGTAATATTATTGTACCCATTTCACAGATGAGAAAACTGAGTCTCTGAAAGAATAAAAACTTTGCCCAAGGTCACGCAGTGGGTGGTAAGAATAGGGGTTTGAAACCAGCTTTGTGTGATTCTAAAAGTTTGTGCTTTTTGCCTTTTGAATGTTTCTAATAACAAATACTTTAGGAAGAAATTGAGAACTAGTTAAATCCAGAAAACTAGCTTATAAAATTAAACAAGCCTTTTGACATACACTGTCCATGCATTTTAGAAAAGAGAAAAGTAAATCATAGCAGCCAACTTGGGCCTTTAAAATCACTTTTGCGAAGGAGCCCAAGCCTATCTATGCAAATTCTCTCCAGACAAGCTGTGGGAGATACCATAGTCTCCCTGCATAGCTCTCAGGTGTTCCTCTTTTGGCTGCTAGATTGAGAGAGAGACTTCTAAGCTTGTCCCCCAGATTTATACCGCCTCACCTGTATTTGAAACCATCTTCATCTTTTCTCAATCTCAGGGGAAATGACGTTCCTCCTTTTACCGAAAGACAGTCTCCCTTCCCTCCTATCCCCACCAACTCTTCAGACTTCATTCCACCATTCATTCACTCCATTCTTTCTAATTTATTCAACACACTATTAAACTTTGGAATGCAATGGAGGCTGAGAGCCACGTCAGTCCAGCAGGGAAAACAAGCGTTAAGCAAGTGGACACAATTCCAGCTGGTCACAGAAGAAGGGACACACCTGTTTATATACACACATCCTCTACTTGCTTTGAAATCTGCTAAGGGGAGACAGGAGACTCAGGTTCGATCCCTGGGTAGAGAGGATCCCCGGAGGAGGAAATGAAAACCCATTCCAGTATTCTTACCTGAAAAGTCCCATGGACAGAGGAGCCTGGTGGGCTACAGTCCATGGGGTTGCAAGGGAGTTGGACACAACTGAGCACACATACACATGTGCACAAGGAAGGAACCAGACTACTAGTTAAACATGACAGATTAAACACATTTTTATTTTGGCACTCCCCTGAAAACCTCTACAAAATAACATAAAGTCATCTTTTATGTTAAAAGAACATGCTCATAAGAATAAATGGGAGGAGGCCATAGAAATTCCTCTGTATGTTTTCAATACCATATAATAATGAAATTAATGGTATATGACAATTGGTGCTAGTACAAATGAATATCCACTTGCAAAATAATGAAACTGGATCCTTACACCATACACAAAAACTAACTCAAAATGAAGCATCGATCTAAATGTGACAGCGAAAACCATAAAACTCTCAAAAGAAAACATAAGCATGTATCTTCATGATCTTGGATAAGACAAAGTTTTCTTTGATATTTGACACCAAAGCAGAGCAGCAACAACAGAAACAGATGAAATGGACATCATCAAAATTTAAAACTTTGTGGCTTCAAAGAATACCAGCAAGAAAGTGAAAAGACAACCCAAAGGATGGGAGAAAAATTTTGCAGTCTGATAAAGGACTAGTA